ATTCAAGAAAAAAAGACATTCCATTTTTATTATAATATTTATTTTACATTTGCAAACACTGTAAAAACATTTCAATTTCCAGTACTTAGGTCTACAGATACCTATAGAAAACTATTCACATGCAAAACAAAACAAAGGAATGTGAGCAGGCGTGCACACACACACGTAAAAACAAAGTCCAAAGAACTGAAACATTAACAAATGGACACTCCTTATCTTTTTCCTTAAAACAAAGAGTACTCTTGTACTTTGCTTCAGTCTTAGAAGTTTAGGCAAAAACAAAACTCGTAGAAAAAAAAAAGTTAGTTCAACATCGTTATTTGCAGTTGTTCAAGTCTCTTTCCGGAAGTCTACACACATTACGCATTGTAAAGCATTAAACAAGACTACAGCCTTCCCCCTGCAAAAAACGGACACATTATTGTATCTCATTTTGTCTGCCTGCATGCCTGCCTTCTGATGAAGGCCGTTCAGCTTGGCTGTTAGCGTTCACATGCCGGTGGCCTCCTGCCGACAGGCAGGTGCACCTAATCACACTTACTCAGTCAATTAGACACTTGAAAAACCCACTAAGAGCCTCATTAAAATCGCTTTCCTTTCACTTGATGCAGCACCATTCATTTCTCCACGATTCATCCCTTTGGCGAGAAAGGAGCTTTACAAAATCCCTTCTAGTGCAGTCGGGCCGCACGCCTCCGCGCAGTGCTGAAAATCTGACCTGACCTGACTAGACCTCTACTGTTTGACTCCTCACCACGATGTTTTTGCCTTTCCTATCATCTCCTCCACCCCTTCTCCTTTCTGAGAAGACCTTTATCTTCAGAACAATCAGGCATCAGATATCTTGTGGCTTACTCGCTTTGCCACAGTACAGCTTGTTGACAGCGACAGCTGAGCACCTGTGGTGGGTGGGACACTTAGACACTACATCAAGAGACACTCGTGCTGCTTGTGAGCCTCCCATCAGTCTGAGGGAAAGGTCCAACAGGATGCTTAAACAACGTGATTCGGCAAC